TCCCCTTGAAACAACTTTTCCATCACTATTGTGGCCAGAAAGAGTCCCTGTGGGTTTTAAAATTCGCCTGCCTATTGAAGTCTATGGCGGTTCGCCCGGTTCGCGAACATTTGCGTAAGTTCGCGTCCGCCATTCGCGACATCACTATTCATTACCACAGATAAATCACCAAACGTGTATGACTTGTTTTCTATTATATCTTGTGAATCAATGAGGAGAGAAGCCAGATTAACATCTTTACCATCTAATATGTTACATTTTTAATTTTTAGGAATAAGATGTACTGGGTTGATGATGTTAGTACTCTTAGCAGGTAAAGGGTTAGAGTTACCTCCTGTACTTGGTTCTGGCTGAGCTATGGGAAGTTGGACATCTGGGATGATTGCTTGGTTAGTGGATTCCAGATTATCCAAACGGTTAATAGTAGCTACAGAACCCACCAGAGAGGACACCATGTTATGCAATTCTGACAAACTATTTTGGATACTACATTCAGAACTAGGGCCAGGCCTTTCATTATGACTAGGCATTTTTTACAAACGAAACAGTTCAGCTTTCCTGGCTGTGGCAGGAAAGGGAATGTTCCTTCTTTTAAGTTCTGCGGTGATCTTAGGAATTGTCCAAGATCTGTAGCTGGAAGCTGGGCTAGCTACAACGGTTTGTCTCGTCTGGGAATTAGATCTGGTCCGGGTGCTGGCAAGCGACAGGTCATCTCCTTGAAGTGAAGCATTAGACATGCTATGGATGTGAAGGAAAATACTTGGTTATTTATATTATCCTTATGCAGCAAAGAAATATAAATTCACCTGTGTGCAGATAGAAAACACACTTAGTGGGTATTAAGTGGGTATCCTCACTTGTGGGTGTGGGATGCAGTATGTGGGGAGAACTGGGAGAAAATTAAAAATCCGGTTTCAGGAACATAGAAATAACATTAAAAAGGGTATGTTAACCCATTCAGTGCCAGTACATTGTAATAGCTGTCCCTTTTTTAGTTTTAATACATTTAAATGTATAGGTATAGAACAAGTGAGCCTGAATAAAAGAGGTGGAGACCTAATGATAACTTTAAGAAAAAGAGAAGGTTATTGGATCCATACATTAAAAACCATGAAACCAAGAGGTCTGAATGTGGACTTTGATTTAATTTGTTTTTTGTAAATTTTTATTTATTTACTTTTACTTTTATTTTTAATTTTATTTTTATTTTTATTTTTAATTTTATTTTTATTTTAATTTTTATTTCTATATTTATTTTTATTTTATTTTATTTTAATTTTATCTTTATTTTATTTTTAATTTTAATTTTATTTTTATATTTATTTTTATTTTTATTTTTTATTTTTGCCTTCTCTATCAATTAGAGGTCTCTTAATGTTATTCCTATTTCTCTTTTTAATATACAAAGGATGTGTTGTTAATCTGTTTGTTTTCTCATCAATAAACATTGTGGACTTTCATGTTCAATCGTCTGATTGAAAGTGGAACGCATTCTCCCTGCTATTGCTGTATATGTGAACGGGAACCAAAGTGAGGCTTGGTTAGCAATCCCGGAACGCATGACGCAACCGGAAGTAAAGTCCGAAACCGGAAGTGAACAACCGAGTTGATTTTTTCGCGCCAGAACTGGACGGATTTAAATGGGAGAAGTTTCTATGTTATTGTATGCATGCTTATGGACAATATTCTGTTAGATGCCCCTGAGGAAGTTCATTTTTGAACGAAACGCGTAGGGCTGATGTCCTTTACTGCTTAGAGTATTCTATATATTGGGCTTATGTCCTTTATTGTTTAAAGTATTTTATATATTTTTATTTATTTATTCTTGATTTTATTGTTTATTTGGCTTTCCTGCTCCACTGGACCCTGACTGGGATTCGTGTGTTTTTTCCATCAGAGCTTGATGTGCCTATTTGCCACTTCTATTTTGTAAGTGTATCTATTAATAAAGTGTGTCATTTTTTACTTGGATACTCTGCACTATTATATATTTTTTTCCTCCTATGCATGATATTGATGTTCTACAAGTCCTGAGGTTCATACATCATTGTATCTGATGTGCCTTCAATCAAACTGCTTTTGTGAGTGCAACAAGTTATATTTATAATTTCTATTTTGCAACATTATTGCGCTATGTCCGTCTTTATTGTTTTTGTATTGTAGATAGCCATTTTTTTGGCACTTTGTTATTATTTATATTATCCTTATAGATATGAAGTAACCCAGCTCACTAGTTTAATGTCAAGAGGCAAAATTATATTACATCAACTAATTAGGTGACAGGTGATGCCCTAACTAATTTCCAAGTGGCTTTGAGAGGCTATGATTATGATTTGGCTCATGGTTTTTTTTTTTATACCACAGATGTAAGTGGTGGCCTCTTGGTGACATTTACAAGATTTAAGATAGATTGGCCATGACAGGTGAGGCCCTGACTATGACACAATGCAAGGCACTAACTATGAGTTGGGCCGTTGGGCTTGTACCTCTGAGCGTGAGGATGGGAGTTGGCTTTGCAGGACCACTCAAGTAAGGCAAAGAGGCCTATAAAAAAAATATTCCTAATTGCCGAGGATTTCTTGAAGGTTACTTAATATCTTCATCATACTCGGAGGTACTACGCCCCTCGGTTCAAATCATAGTTAGTCGCCTCGCATTGTGGCATAGAGAGGGCCTCACCTGTCACTCCCATTCTAACTTATGTTTAACGGTCACGAGAGGCCAAACCCCCCGTCACAACGTTCAGTGGCCATGTTATCCCCTCATGCCAACGCATAGATAGAGCCTCTCACGCCGCTTGGCATCTAGCAGGGCCTCACCTGTCACCAAACCTAGTTTTAATTGTTTCACCTTTTGGCATTAGCTAGTATGCCAGCACACACATTGGGTCAGAAGAGGTGTGTCGGGTGCTCACTCCAAAAATAAACAGTTAAATAGGCAGCAGTAACTGATACAAGGATTCCCAGCCTTGTTAAGAAACAGTATAGAAGAGAAAAAAGAGGAAAAGTGTTATTTTATATAGCTTTTTATTTTATTCTATTTGTGCTATTATTAAATATACCTTTTAAAGCTATACTTTATTTCACTTTATTTTATTTGCACCATCAAACTTCCTGGCCTGTATATCCTACAGTGGGGATCATACCACTGCAAGCCCTATATACTAGAGCAAGTTTTCTGCTCTAGTAAATGTGAGTATAAATATTTTTATTTATTTATTTATACTTGGAGCTGGAACTACTACACTATTTGAGTTTCTTGTTTTCCATTTTTTCTGTACCACCATACCATCGGAGTACCTAAGACGTTGGACCTCTTATCCTAAGACGGGGATTGTACCGTCCATGCCAATCACGGTAGAGCTCCCACAATAGCTCTTCAAATGTAAGTTTAAAATACCTCTGTTCTATTTATTACCTTTTTCTAATATTGTTAAACATATCACACTATTGTATATATTTTTTCTGTTTTCTTTTTGAGGATAAATTATCCGCAACTACTAAGAGACATCAAGTGCATGTATATATAACTCATGTAAGGCGCGGTTTCCTCTTTTTTCTCTTCTACACACATTGGGTCGCATATGCGCTATTTATTCATTTCTTTTCTAGCATGTCTCCTCTACCAGGCAGTGGCATAGTACTTTTCCTGCCCAGCTCTCCGGCTATGTCTGGTACTCCGTCACGTTGTGGAGATTCGGCTACCCCTACTTCCTTTTGGATCCTTGTCTCTTCCTCGCATCACTGCGGTTCTCAGGAGTCGATCCCCTCCCCAACAGCCTTTAGGACAGCTGAACTCTTCACGTCACTGTATGCCTCCACGGATACCGCTGTTGTTGGAGGGGAACTCGAGCCGCTCTTACTTCTCCGATGTTCACCCCCTGTTGTCTTTGCTACTGTTGTCTATGGGGCAGTTCGGTTAGTGGTTTGGGAATTTGGGGACTGCCACTCTGGCTAAGTCTTGCCCGGTCTTCCTGCTCCTTTTTATACAGTTCCTCCTGTGGCTCCACTGGGCGTTCCACATGGCTCCACCTACGGCCTCTCCCTCAGCTACTGCCGCCCCTGCGTTTTCTGAGTCTGCTCATGGACTACCCGCCTTGTTATCTAGTGGTCGTCAGTGTTCACATCTGTATCTTTCTACTGACACTCTTCTCATTTAGAGGCTCGTATATGTCGGATATGTCGTTACTGTCTCTTTTGCTATGTTGTCTGTGTTTGGCTTTCGTTCCTTTTGCCACTTCTTTTTATTCTTTATTTTTACCGTGCATATGAGATGACAACATGCATGGGGTACCCCAAAGGCAATCCACATGCTTTTTCAGAACATTTTTCACAAACAGGAGTATGTTAGAGCTTGCACATTTTTATATTTAGTATGCATTTGATCTAGCTTAATCATGAGTTAGCTTTGTTAAATGTAAAACTAAGTTTATGCAAGTCAGGCAAAATAGATAGAATACCGCTAGAAAGAAGACTGCCTAAGTTTGAATTAAAATTGAGTGACCTGCTGGATTATACATCCAACAAATGAAACTTAATTCGCTGTGTTAGTAGGGGTTCATGCTTTATGCTAGGATGTGCGCTGGCCAACATTGAGAAATCGGGTAGGACAAATATTAAACTTCAAGGCGTCTACAGGACATTTTAAGCCCCTCTCTGTGTGATTGTTGTACTTATAAAATGCCCAGCTCATTTATAGTGGTGTGTAATATACTAGGCCTAAAGCATTGCTAAGACAGTGAGAGAATGTGATGCTATACTAACAGAAGAGAGGATGAATAAAAAAAGACCAAAACCGTGGACAATATAAGTGTGTTGACCCGCATCCCCTTATAGGGTAATGTAGTGGATTATAATTAGTTACTTGATTAGGTGCGGGTGCATCTTTGAGTGTCCAGTAATTTAAGTCCTGCATAAAAGACAGACTGTTTGTCGGGGCCAGGATGGCCGCGGATTTCAGCCGATGCCTCTGCTATGTTTCTCTGGGTGTTGTGGCTCGACAAGGTGTCTCCCTCCACTTTCTTGTCAGCCCGTGTCAGGGGTCGGTTCTCAGTCCAGGTTGGCTCGGTCATATGAGTCGTTGTTCGACCGGCGTACCTCTGTGTGTTCAGTCCGTGAGGGTCTATGTCTGTGCAGATGCAGTATGCCACATGGCCCCCTCCTCCCTCGTGCACCGGGATTGCTGTATTGTTGCTGCTTTTCCTTCGACCGCTGGAAGTCGGGTGTTTGCCATGTTTGGGTCTCACGCCCGGTTTCGGTTGCTGTAGAGCAGAGCCTCGTCGTTCTGGGGGTGGGAATCCTCCCTTACCCCGGAGCTGTGGGAGAGCTGGTTCTTGTAGGCCACAAGCCTGGGAGCCTGCGTGGCCCAGGGTCGCCCCTTGCGGGGTGGTGCGGTGAGTTTCAGTCAGTCGCTGACGTGGTCGCTCTGCTACTCTCCGCCAGTGTGGCCGGCACCTCTAGGTCATACCCTTCATTGCTCACAGCCAGGGAGGGCCCTGGACATGGGATGATGGAGCGTGGGTCATGAAGTTGCCCTGGTGAGTGTCCCCAGTACTCCGTCCACCTTCGGCTCCGACCCTTGCGGTCATTTTTCAGCGTGGGGTTTCTGGCTGCATGCAAGCCTCTAGTTTTGCCCAAAAGCAATCGAAGATTCTATCAATAGCGTCTCTAGTGCAGTCTTTTGTTACTGCTGTAGTAGCTTGGTGCCATCACTTATACGACACTTGTGTGTCAGTATGATCCACCATCTTAGGGTCCCCCGTCTCCATCTTGTTTAGGGAGGTCATTATGCATGTTGCTCGGTGCGGAAGACAGAGCACCCCATCTGGTTGGGACCGAGATATCCCCCATCGGTCCATGGGGAGGGAGAGTGTGTCCCGTACGCTTGGTGCGATTGGCATCTGGCGGGAAGGCGGCCGTCCGTCCCCCGTGCCTCTGCTAGGCCTCATGTTGCCGCTGCGAATCCCGGTTGAGTTCAGACTCAAGGATGGTACCAGCAGGTCTGTGGGAACCTCCTCCGTGTACTGAGCCCAATTGTGGGTAATTTCCAGCAGTTAGATTGTGGATATTCGTGGTTTTCGGGTTCCCACTGCAGGAGCTCATGTAATGTGCGACTTGTCTGTTAGCTAGTTCGGCTCCGCCCCCTCCTTTTGCCACTTTTAACTTGCATTATCCCATAATACCATCAACTATATCTATCTGGTATACAACTTCACATGTTGTACAGGTTTCCAATCAAACGCAGCCCCATGGCCTCATACGAGATTATTACCATACTCAAAGCGTTCAGGTGACCGGACAAATTCAAAACACAGTTTTCCTATCACATCCAATTATTTCAATCTTTTCAGACCTTTTAGATTCTTTAGGCCCTGAATATTTACCACAACTACCACTGGACTGACCCACCGGGATACCAGGAAATTTCCTGGTGGGCCATTGGCACCTGATGTCGGCTGCAGGGTGAGCTGTGCTGTCTCTGCTCCCCCGCACTTGCGTGTTACTTAATGAGACTGGGGCCAGAATATGACGTCATATTTCGGCCCCGATCTCATTAAGCTGCACGCTGGGGAGCAGAGCAGAGACAGCACAGCTCCCCCTGCGGCTGCCAGCACAGACAGCTGTCTGCCCTGCACAACACCCTGGCTGATCGCCCAAGGTACAAATAATGTACAAATAATGTGTGTGTGTCTGTCTGTGTCATGGTGTGTGTGTGTGTGTGTCTGTCAAGGTGTGTGTGTGTGTCTGTCATGGTGTGTGTGTGTGTCATGGTATATTTGTGTGTCATGGGGTGTGTATGTGTGTGTGTCTGTCATGGTATAAGTGTGTTTCTGTGTCTGTCATGGTGTATGCGTGTGTCTGTTTAAAAATAGTGTTTTTACTTAGCTTTTTTTTTTTCCCACGCCGTGCTGGTCACCCCTCGACTGGCCCTGTCTCTATGGCTGAGATCATCAAGCTTGATGATCTCAGCCAATCCAATGCTATGCCATAGGATTGGCTACAAAATGCTACACCAATCAGCATCTCCTCATAGAGATGCATTGAATCAATGTATCTCTATGGGGAACGTTCAGCGCCTCCAGAGCTTGGGGGCCCTGAATGTACTTGCTGCACACTGTGCAGCACTGACACAGGAAGCACCTCTAGTGACCGTCTGAGTGACTGTCACTAGAGATGTCACTAGGAAGCAATGTAAACACTGCCTTTTCTCTGAAAAGTCATTGTTTACATTGAAAAGCCTGCAGGGACAGGTTATATACACCAGAACCACTACATTAAGCTGTGTGTGTGCGCCTGTTAGTGAGTGAGCTTGCTTGCATGTGTGTGTGTGTGCCTGCTAGTGAGCGTGCTTGTGTTTTTATGACAATGAGCTTATGTATATCAGTGAGACTGTTTGTCTATGAGGCTGTGTATCAATGAGCTTGTGTGTGTCAGTGAGATTGTCTGTGTCTGCATGTGAGTATGCTTATTGTATAATTAAACATTTTACTCTGAAAGGACCAATATTTTATATTAGAAAAAGCAATATTTATTTTATATATATATATATATATATATATATATATATATCACTCAATCAACTGGGGTGGCAAGACATAGCCTTACATATTACATGTGACAATATATGGCGCAATGACTTATTGGGCTGGCATAGATTTTTTTTTCCAGGGCTGCTTTGTATCACTAGTCCGGCCTGACTACCACATCCCTGCAGTTCTGTCTCAGGAAGTCTCATCTATCCAACAAGCAGGCTATTATTTACTTTCTCTAACCCACACTTAGACTACCCAAGATGATCATCACGTTAATATACCTTTCTGCCCCTTGCATAATAAGGAGTGCCGGTTAAAGTTCCGGACACCTACTTACTCTCTCTTTGTAACCAAGCTTCACAACTACAGATAGCACTACATGGGTCAGTCTTCACAACATGAAATACATGCTATACTTTTAGTTCATTGACCATGAGGCTAGGTTCAATCCGTCCAACTATTCTGGTCACCACTCTAGTATAGGGTGGCATCCACGACTCCAAAACTAGATCATATTGGTCCATGCAATTAATCTCTAGGTCAATGGAAGTTATCAGCATATTTCCCATACATTCCATGTTCTGTACAAGATCTTCGAAATTCATTTACCATATGGCTATAAAATGTATTCTTTTTCTATTTTTGCCCTCTTTATTACAGGCCTACCGCATCGGCGGTTCCGGCACACCTCAACCGACTTCTCTCTTCCTATACTATGTTAGTTTTTGTAAACTCCCTATATGGCCTAATTTGCCCCTCACACAAATGCAAAGGCTTGGTCTGCAGTAGTGGGAGGGGCATGTTACCCTATTTAAACCCACTACTCACCTTCCTCCATCCTGTATGTGCTTTAGCGATTCGTATGTCCCCACCCTCTACTCCATCTATCTATACTTTTCATTACACCTCATGGGTGGGCCCTCTTTATTACAGGCCTACCGCGTCATCGGTTCCGGCACACCTCAACTGACTTCTCTCTTCCTATACTATGCTACTCTTTGTACACTCCCTATACAGCCTTATTTGCCCCCTCACACAAATAAGAATTCACATAAATAATAACCGAACAGTAATGCATGAAAATCAGTGAATTGACATAGTGTTAATATGGAAAGCAAACAAATTTCATTTCCTGGGACAAAAATAGAAATAAAAATACATGAACGGGAAAACTTCATACGAATTAGTGTTTGTAAATCTGGTGCGAACAGCATTGAACCTGACAATTATGTGAAATAGCTTAGGTTTAAATGCACAAATTAACACAGGAATGCCATTCGTATGATTTCACCCATACGAATGAAGTGACTGTAAAACACATAGACGAACGAAGCAGATTAAAACATGAATTCATTTATTTAAACAAATGGAGAATATTAACGAATTGATACAAATTGTATGAGACAACTTACAAAATAAATGGTGTTCGTATAACCGAGCTACATGCAGTCTGTATAATGTATGTTGCAAAGGGGCCGCGTTCTTGCGAAGGGCCGCGTTCATTTTTTAAACAGCGAGGACAGGTAAACAGGGTTACTGGGGGTTTAAATAGGTCAAATAACCCCTCCCACAATTTCAGACATATGCCTTCCATATATACATATATATATATTTGAATGCATTATACTGGCCAAACTAATGTCTCAGAATCTTAGACTATGAATTTAAAGAAGAGTAAGAGAAAATGAGAGACTCAACATATTGGACAAATGACTTGTCAGTTTAATGTAATTGCATTGTTTAAGAGAACATACATAATTACATGTTGTTTTGTACTCTTTTGTGAAAATAAAAAAAAATTAAAGAAAAAAAAGAATTGGTTGGGCCTTGAATTGTGTCATGACTGGATGTACTAATCTGTGTCACAAAATTAATACCAATAGTTTCAAAGAACAACTGTCTTCAAATGTTCAGGTCTTGTTTTTAAAAGCTTATTACATTGCATTTGCACTGTAGTATTTTGTAGAAATTGAGGCAAATGTAAATCACACTTGGAGGTCTAATTATCCACATAGGCATCTCTACTACTGGTCTACTGTACTATGCTGGTTACCTATGGCTGTACTGTATACCTTGTATTTGATTGTTTAATATCGCTATATCTGTTTTAATCTATACCACTAAATTGACCTTGCAAACTTTAAAAAATAAAAATAAAATTGTCAATAAAGATATGAGAATATTTATATTTAATGGCTATGAGACATTCATCTTTGAACACATATTATCTATCGTTTAGGGTTATGTTTGGCTACTTGCTCCCTGTGTATTATGATCTATGATTTAAAAGTAGCAAATATTTTACAGCTGCTTTTAAATCAGATGTACCTAGTTTATAGTTATTCTGTTGGTATGTTTCAAACTGTGTTTGGAACGTGTATTGCTGTACTCTGTGCCTATCACAGAAAATGAAACAGAACATAATAGCCCAGCTACTGCTGATGGCTTGCTTTCAAAATAGGGATTTGAGAGCTGATGCTGTGTAAATAACTCAATCTATTAAATAGGTTCTTTATGTGTATCTGCTGTTTCTGAGTCTTGTAATGGCATCCACATTTGATATTGGCATCATTCTTTGGACATAAAATAATTTATGTATATACCATATGTCAGTAAATTTGCATTTATACTCTTGTAGGAGTAAAGCATAGTTCACAGACTATTGCTGTTTCCTGGTACAAGAATTTGTCTGTCCCTGTGACCTCTCAATTCCTCAAATATTGCTCATACCACAGCACACCTAGGCTTTGTTATCACTTCTCATTTCCCCATTATTTGTCCTGTGGGAATTTGGGGTTTTCCCATGGTATCTCTAATTCCACTATATAATTTTATGTCCCCAACGCATGCACTATCGTACCCTGCGGTTCTCATATCGTAACCGCACGACTCTAAGTCTTCGCGCATGCGTCAGTGGCCGGCAACTATGATGCCGCCCCTGGTCCGCCCATCTTCACTTGGGGGCGGAATAGAGGCAGCCCTCTCACGCGTGTATGCACGCATGTGCAAATCCGTGCGCATGCGCCATGGGGTCCACGACGAACGGGGTCTCCGCGTGGGTCCCACTCTAAGAAGCACCATGGACACGGGACAAGCCTCCGGATCAGGTGAGACTCTCCACCTGAATTCGTCCGTCCCATTTTGAGGGGAGTGATTTGTGTGGACAGTTTAAAAATGGCCCGGTCAGAACATGTGTGTCCTGCTGCCCTTGAGAAAGGCGGAATGTACCGCCAAAATGCGCGTTGGTCTTCTTTCCACCATGCTCTGATGATTTTAATATTTCACCTTGTTTGACTGCTAGATTAGGAGCTTATTTTGCTATATAGCTAGGGGGACCCTTTGCCGGCCGGGTTTCCCCTTATTACCCTATAGAGCCAAGTAGTTTGGGTTGTTAATACTTATTTACTTTATTTGACTCTCCTCTATGAATATTCAAACTGTTTTTCCACTACCTCTAACCTCCTATCCTTTCGATTTACCTACCTGTTGCTACATACTTTGAGTGAATGATTCCCTAGCATGATTATTTTATGGGGTCATTTCACCCTAGTAGCTCAACTTATGTTACAAGCCCCTTGGTTTGGACAGCAAGTTTCAGATTGATTGAGGTTGCCTCCTACAGTTCATCTGACAGAAGGCGATAACTTAGCAACACATTTCCATGCTATTTATCTTATTGGCTCACTTTCACCTTTTTTCTGATTAGTGGTAGTCGATTTAGGGAGAGAATGGGAGGTTTTTTTCAGATTCTAACCTTATATAATCGAGTCCTGCATGTAGAGGTTTTAGGGGACCAGTGTGCTGTACCATTCTCATATCAGCAAGATATAGGGCAGTGATGGCGAATCTTTTCGAGCCCGAGTGCCCAAACCACAATACATGCCAACTTTTTTTCCCTCACAGTGCCAACACGGCAATTAAACCTGAATACTGAGGTTTAAGTGTAGAAAAATAACTTGTACAGTTGTCCGAACTAATTCTCCTCTCCTTTCCCCCAGCATCTTCCCTTCTCTACCCAGAGCATATTCCCCTCTCCCCCCAGCATCTCCTCCTCCTCCTCTCCCCTTCTGCCCCCAGCACCTCCTTCTCCTCTCCTCTCCTTTCCTCTCCTCTCCCCAGATTCTCCTCTCCCCTTCTCCCCAGCATCTCCTCCTCTTCCTCTCCCCCAGATTCTCCTCTTCCTCTCCCTTTCTCCCCCTCCTTTCCCACAGATTCTCCTCTTCCTCTTCCCCAGCATCTCCCTCCTCCTCCTCTCGCCCAGCATCTCCTCCTCCTCCTCTCGCCCAGCATCTCCTCCGCCCTCTCCCCAGTATCTCCTCCTCTCCCCCCAGCATCTCCTCCTCTTCTCTCCCCCCAGAATCTCCTCCTCTTCTCTCCCACCAGCATCTCCTCCTCTTCTCTCCCCCAGATTTTCCTCTTCTCTCCCCTATGCATCTTCCCCTCACTACCCCAGCATATCCCCCCTCCCCCAGTATATCCCCCTCTTCCTACCAGCACATAAATAATGTTATTTTTTTGGTGCGGGTGGGAGTTTGAAGTCCTCCCAGGCTCCCTACCTCCTTCCTGCTGCTGTAAGGGGGTGTGGGCGCGAGGGAGCACTGACTTATGTGCTGTTCCAGCACTGCTCCCTCCACTGATGCTGCCGGCAAAACAGGAAATTACGTCAATCAGGCAGCGGCGCCTGATTGACGTCATTTTGTGTCTCCCGGCGGCATCAATGAAGGGAGCAGTGCTGTAACAGCACATAAGTCAGTGCTCCCTCACAGCCCTCCATCCCACCAGTGCCACCTTAACAACATTATGGGCCCCCGGGCAAAGCAGTGCACTGAGGCCCTACCTACACACAACAGGAATAAAAATTAAAATTATATAAAAAAATTAGGCTTATATTTTTTAGTATCTTCAAAAAATGCAATATATACATAAAATATATACACACAGACTGCTGAATACATACACACCGACACACACAGTCCGCTGAATACATGCACACAGTCTGCTGTATACACGCACACAAACATACATACAGACTGCTCAATACATAAAGACTGCTGAATACACATACAGACAGACTGCTGAATACACACACACACAGAATGCTGACTACAGACAGACTGCCTAGTACACACAAACTGCTGAATACATACACACAAACACACATACGCTGCATTGAGGGGTGCAGTGTATGTGTTTGTGTGTACGGGTGCGGAGTGTGTGTGGAGTGCTGTGTATGAGGGGTGCTGTGTGTGTGTGTCTGAGGGGTGCTGTGTGCGTGAGAGGTGCTGTGTGCGTGTGAGAGGGGTGCTGTGCTGTGTGTGAGAGGAGTGCTGTGCTGTGTGTGAGATGGGGGATGCTGTGTGCGAGACGGGGGGTTCTGTGTGCGAGACGGTGGGGTGTTGTGTGCGAGATGGGGGTGCTGTGTGCAAGAAGGGGGGTGCTGTGTGCGAGATGGGGGGTGCTGTTTGTGTGTGAAGGGGTGTTGTGTGTGTTTGTGGGGGTGCTGTGTGCAGGGGAATGCTGTGGGGGTGCTGTGTGCGAGAGGGTGTGTGTGCTGTGTGCGAGATGGGTGTGGGGGTGTGCTGTTTGTGGGGGTGCTGTGTGTGTGTAAGGGGTGCTGGGTGTGTGTGTGTGTGTGGAGGGTGCTGTGTGTGAGGAGTGTGTGTGGAGGGGTGCTGTGTGTGAGGGGTGCTGTGTTGTGTGTGTGGGGGTGCTGTGTGGGGTGTGTGTGTGTGTGGGGGGTGCTGTGTGTGGGGGTGCTGTGTTGGGGTGCTGTGTGTGTGGGGGGTGCTGTGTGTGGTGGGGGTTGCTGTGTGTGGTGGGGGAGCTGTGTGTGGTGGTGGTGGGGGGGGAGGGCTGCAAATATATTATTACAATCTGTGTCCCCCCCTTCCTTCTGCTTACCTTATGTGAAGTAGGGGACACACATAAAACCCTGGTGGTCCAGTGGTGGTAAGAGGGACAGGTCCTGCAGCTCTCCTGTCCTCCCGCCTGCACGATGCTGTGTGGAGCGTTGCCATGGTAACGCGTGGCAACGCTCCACACAAATTGCTCGCGGGATGACGGGAGAGCTGCTTCTCAAATCCCTCCCCCTGCCTCCCGATACAGAAGTAGAGTAGGCACCTGCTATTTTGGGCAGGCAGGTGCCTACTCTGCATTGATGGCGAGTGTAACGGACCATTTTGCACACAAGGGGTAAAAACCGTTTAGGCGATCGTCCCCTTTTCAGAGATGCAGGCACAGCTACTGTAGAACACCAAACTCACGAACCACCAATAAGGGAATGCTCCAAACTCCCGAACGGCATACAATATAGCACTCAAAACACATGAACTGGAACCATACGAATCGCTGCTAGCAGACGAATAGGAAAAGCACCCAAGCGGCTTACACTCCTAGCAATCAGTCTCTATCAGCATTCAGTAAATCCCCCCAAAGACGAGACAAGGCTCCGTGTTGAGGGTCAAGCAGTGGTCTGTTTAATGAGGGCTACCTGCCCAGTATTTATGCAGGTCTCCCACCTGGTGGACACTCCCCTAGGGGACCAAATGGGAGACTGTGACAAAAGACAGACAAGTAGACAAATAGGACACACAGTCACATTATATTCCCACAATGCTTCCTCCCCTCTGCTTTGGAGATAATTGAGAAGTAATTCAATTATCTCCCAAGACAAAGGCAAATCACCATTATGCACGTGGGGATACTAACACAGGAATTACTATTAAAATACACTATATGACACAAGTTACAATAAAACTATACATTTAACATGTCCCCAGATAGCTCAGGTCTGAGCGCACATTATTAAGCGAATGGCGCTCAGACCACACGAATACAGTTCAATCGCCATGGAGCCAAAGTCTTTACAAAGTTAATCCTCATACGAATGAGCTCCATGGGATTCCTATTAAGCGAATGGCGCTCAGACCACACGAATACAGTTCAATCGCCAACTTATCGGTAACTTATGCCTACTCTACTCTGTTTTGAGGAAACATTATCTACAACAATTAAGAAACATCTAGTGTATATATATACAGTTAATGTAAGGCGCGGTTTCCTTCTCTTTCTTTCTATTATGTATACATATGGTTACATTTATGTGTATTCATTTTGTCCAATATAGCGGTAAGCTTAGCAGTCTTTTTAACTGTGTTTCACATTTAGACCCACTACGTGGGTCCCTATAGAAGTACACAGTTTTTTGTTGTTTGTTGACTTCTAATAAAATTTATATTTAAGTATATTTATGTGCAAGTTCTATCAGTTTACTACATTAGAGGTGGTACTGGGGGGACGGGACCTTTAGGAGTATTTTCCACTCCCCAGTTATATTCTTTTTTCCTATTGTTGTTCTCTAGGGTTAGGCCCTTCACTACCTTGGTAACCTTTTACTTCACCTCCGATCTGGTTTGTGCCAGATCAAGTGGTGTTGCTTTCTTATCACTTCTCTAATATAAGCATTTATGAAATGATTAATATAAGCATTTGTGAAATGAGAGCTTTCTTTTCTACTGTTACAGGTAAGATTCATCTGTAGGAAAAGGTTACTGATTGCACAAGGTTTGAATTCCTGTTGGTAATTATAAGGCATTTGATTTGATTAAGCTAGTTACTTGCTATTGATTGCTGGTTAATTAGCTATTGTTTGCAAATAAGCAGAGGCCTACCCAGGTGTTAAGCATTCCTAGTGGGCGGTGATTTTAGGAGTTATATAAGGCCTGGTTCCATTAGCTTGTCTAATATAGCTTGGGGCTACTTCTAAGTGCTGTTTCTAAGTGTGTAGTTGGAGATATTCTGGAGGTAAACTTGAGGTAATCTGAGGTATTCAGGAGGATAAATACAAAGTTAAGATTTGTTAGATTTAAATTATTCTCCTAATTGGAATGGCAGATTTAGTTCAGTGTAACAATTGCTATGCATTTGTTTCACGTTCCACTTTTTGGAGGTTTGGTTGTTTTCTAATCTGTAGTCAGTTCTCTATCTTGCGGCAGGAGATTGTATTTTTGAAGTCTGAGATTTGTAAATTATCTGGTGAACAAGCTCAGACTGGAACTGCTGCAAAGCCACTGCCGCAGAGACATACTAGGAAAGGCAGATGGATTAC